TGCAAAGATATGTGGCTCCATTAAAATAATTTTCCAACATTTACTATCCCAACACAGATACAGTTAGATGTTTCCTGTATTCCAAGAACTACAGAGATCTAAACATAGGATATATAAAAGCTAACATACACATAAATCAAAATGTAATTCATATCTTTTGTAAAAAAAACCATGGTAAATCAGCCATATGAGTAAATCAAAGGTGGATGCAGATATAATACAGAGATCCATGAATGATTCGGAGCAGTGACAAATCCAAGTGGAAGCAAGAGACCTTTTATGCGTTATGTAGTATATCCCATCACTTTAAGTTTGCAGTGACAAACAAACATGCCCTTTCCCTAACACTCTTCTTAAAGGAAAACAAAATGACAAGCAGGAGACATGGTACAAGAGCATCAACTGTTAGAAAACTCCAGAAGCATCATGTTTTAAATGAAATACTTCCAGTTAAACGTTCAGCAAGCCCTTAGCCTTTTCTTTTTTCATTAATGGTCCCAAGAGGAGCAATCTCACAATGCACAAGTAACACCCTGGGGATAAGGCTGAATTAGGTCTCCGACATGGCAAGGAGTTTGTTTCGTAAATCACTAGAGTCTCCGGGCACTTGAGTAGACAGAAAGCTACCAGTGAAGCTGCACTTCTTCCAGTTAAGGAGCACAGGTGCTGGGGAAATTGGGTTCTACTCAGTTGCAATCTATTCAGAGAAATCTTTACAAGAACCTACTCTTCAAATTTCTGTCACTGGGCACATTTGGGCTGTGATTCACATTCCAGGCCTTTCTGAATTCTATCAGAAGGTCATTCTTGAAATATCTAAACAAAGTGAATAGAAAATTTTCATTGAGAGCTGGCAACTGATAATAGTTTCCTTTGGTGCTGGAATGGAAGAAAGACAACTCCAAAAATCCTTTTGGGGACATAATCATGAATGTGTGTGTTCACCTTGCATAATAACTTCTTTGAGACTTGAATTCACTGCCATTTTTTAAACATTAGGACTCTTCACATTAAAGTTCTGATTTTAATCCTTTCTTTAAAATTGTATAGTCTGGTAAGGCTAATTCTGCTCTTACATATGACAACAATCTTCAAGAGCTAAGCAGAACTTTTCTAGTTTTGAACAATTGTGTTCTCCATTGTCCTAAATCCCACCAGCCCTGCTTCTCAAACATCTTCTGAAGAGCCCCTAGCACATGCGTGTGTGTCCTATGACTTATAAGTACTATACAGACCTACAATGTGAATATGCTTCAGCTAGCAAAATTCTCAAACTAAGCTGTGACCTCTGGCAGTTTTTAAAACATCTACATGGCTTAATGTCTTTCCATTAAAATACTGAAGATGAGTCATAATTCTGAAATAATTTTGCATAAAAAAATGTCTTTTTCTGGTAAGGCACACTCCTGTAATTCTAGCGCTCTGGAAAACTGAAGAAGGAAAATTACAACTTCAAGTCCAGCCTCACCAATTTAGTGGCTTAGAGAGACCTTGTATCAAAATAGAAAATAGAAAAAGGTGTAGGGACACAGTTCAGTAGGAATGCTGGGGTTCAGTCTCCAGGACTGCTGAAAAATATTTCTACCCAAAATTCAGTTTTCTTTGTACATACAAATTTAGCTCTTCTAGAGCTGGTCCTAAACTTTGTGGCTTATATCCTAAAATATGTATTCTATTCTTTGTGTTTCAAGTGGACAGATATATTAAAAGTCAGAGAGTGATGTAGATTTTAAGATTGCAGTATTGTAGCATCATTGAGCTGTAATTCATTTATTTGAAAAGTAAGGTCTTAGTTAAGTTGTGACTTTTTGAGGTCAAAAAGTAGTGACTATGATATTCAAAGATGTAATATTTCTTTGAACCCTCAGTTCAGAGCTTCATTTTGGTAGCAACTAGCCCTGTTAATTCTTTGATTCTTAGTGAATAAAAATAACCTTTATGAAGATAAGAAGTTTTTCCCTGTCTCTCTTTCTTTCCCATTTTCTTATCCCTTTATTCTTCCTTCCTTCTTCCTTCTCTTCACTCTCTTCCTCTTCACTCTCTTCCTCTATCCTTCCCTTCTACTTTCCTTCCTTTCTTAAATTCACCTCACATTTTTCTTGGAAATAATAAACATTCTGATGAACATCAGAAGATAGACAGATGCACAGAGTAGTTTTTTATGTGAGTCTGTTCTGTTACACTTAGGTATACACCATGGTACCTTCTTTCTGTGCATTATTAAAGGTGCAAATTTGGGGAAAAGCCCTTTTCAAAGGCAGGAGGAAGAGCTAGTGGCTACACCATCACAGAATTTTGCAATTTCGTTCATCATTCACATGGCTCTCATTTACTTCTGGAAAAGGACTAAGTACAGTTAATTTAATAACCAAATGGGGCAGACAGAAGGGCTGCTCAGATTGTGGAAAAAACAAAAGGCTGATTTCTGACAATCTGGTGGTTACAGAGCTGCTGATGCCTTCTGGAAAAGTCTGAGAGAAATAATTCTATTTAAAAACCATGTTGGCTTCCCTAATCTTATCTATTTCTTATGGCTCTTCTCCTTTACTTTATTAGTAATAAATTTTATAGGAAAAGAAGAGTTTCTCCTTCCAAGGAAAGGCTTTAGGTAGACATTTGCTTTCGAATTTAACTTCTGATATCTGACTTTGAACCAGGTGTACAACAATGAACTGTCCGTGTTGATTAGTTAACTGTATTTAATGATTTTTCTGGCTCTTGTTTGGTAAGCTACAGTGGGGTGCAAGTACCTAGAATGTATAAATCCTTGCTGTCACACTCGCATGGGGATGTGATTTAAGGCGGAGGAGTGAGTTCTCCAGCTACGGCAGTCTCATCATCCAAACAGGACCTGATTAGGTTCCTTTATCTTTTTAAATAATAAGCCTGCATTATACCAAATGGTACATTTTGAGAGATCCTGATCTCCAGTTGTTCAGTGATATGCATATGACTTAAAATTTGAGATGAACTTAACTATAGTCCAATGACTTGATATAGACTTATATCCTTCTTTAAGAATATAAATTAGGACTGCTAATTTTTCGTATTTCAAAAATTTATTCTTTGTACTTTATTTTCAGTGCTTTCTTGCATTGAGCATTGTATATACTTATTCAAAATCAATTATATTGAAATTTTAGGATGCTGGGGATTTAGCTCAGCGGCACAGCACCTCCCTGGCAAGCGCAAGGTCCTGAGTTTGATTCCTGGTACCGGAAAAAAACAGAAAAACAAGTAATTTTAGAGTATAAATGAGGTAGTTCTGAGCTCCAACTGCTCATTTATCAGCCCCGCAGGGGCCCAGGAATAAGCATTGCAATTACATCCTAAGTCATTCTTAGAATTTTTTATTCTGTTGTTCACTTTTCAAATTCATTGTGGCATTTATTCTGCTCCGTACTGAGTGTTGTGGGTACAGTCCCTGAATTTATGAAGTCTTGGAATACATAAATAAAATGGTATACAATACTTGGTAGTGATAAGAACAATAAATAAAAAAGAATAAGGCAGACAGTAAGAAAGGTGAAAGAGATAGCAAGCAGAGAGATACTCAGAAAAAGGTCTGCCTGATAAGATAATGCTAATATAAGTGGCTCAATGACCAAACCTTGAGAAATACTCCTTTTAAACAAGTTAAGGAGATAGAAAATGGATGCCTCTCAGCTTGAATTTAGTATCAGGCATGTTCATATATGTTCAAATTTCTAGTTTCTCTTTGTACTTAATAGTTTACTTACTGCAATTCCTGTGTCCTAACCCCACCACTAACACACACACACTCATACAACATGGATCAAATATATATTGCTTAGAAAGATGCTGGCATGATTTTAAAATAAAGAACTTGTGTCATAATAGTACTTAAAAAAAGAGAATCAGTGACTCTGATGAAATTGCTAAAAAGTAATCTTAGAAATACTGGAAGAACTATGGTATCCAGAATAAGGGATGTGACTGTCTTGGTTTCCTTGCTCCACTCAAGCAAGCTAGGAAAATTATATTCAGACACAAGAGCTTCTATTTAAGATTGACTCAAAAATAGAGCTCTGCAGAAATGAGTTCCTGTGTTGGAGGAAAAAACTGACTCTGTCTCATGGAAGCAAAGGTGCAGAAGTAGGGGATGTTTTTTGCAGGGAAGAAATGACTCAATTGAGACTTCAGACCTCTCCTCACACATCTGAAACCCACAGAAAAAAGATTAGATTTTGGTTTCTACGATTCCATAAAGCAGAACTGCAGAAAACAGAGGACAGAAAATTTCTCAAAGAATGATTTGAGGCTCACAGAAATGGAGCTCCTGATTAGGTGGTATCCAGTCGTGGATGTGGAGGGCTCTGGAAGGTAACCCTTCATTAAAGGTGTGAAAACAGACATCTACGGCTGTGCACTGGGGTGGAAGGTTTGTCAGCTTTCCATCACTGTAAAGACTACCTGACTAAGTCAGGTTATAAAGATAAACGTTTACTTTGGTTCAGAGTTTGGGAGGTTTCAGCACATGATGTATTGGGCACATTGCTCTGGGCCTGCAGCAAGGCCCCACATCATGGTCTCAGCGCACGGTGGAGCGGAACTGCTTGCCTCGTGAGTGGGAAGCAAAAGATAGAAAAGGAGGATGGGAGGGTCCCAGTGCGGCTCTCCTCCTCCACTGACTGAAGGGCCCCGCCAGGCCCCATCCCCTAAAAGCCCCATCTCTTCCTAATAGCACAACTGTTAGTGAATGGTAACCCAGAACGTTCAGAAGCCAGGTGTGGCTAAAGGAAAGGACCTCTGAGCTCTTGCTGAGCCGGAGAACCTCTGATGCTATGATCCATAATTCTGTGATGCATAATGCTATCATTGATTCCTCCGCAAACAATAGTCTTACTCTTACAGGCCGCTCAAGCTAGGAGATGTGATAGTGCCAGCTGGACAGACAGGTTTAGAGGAAGAAGTAAACATTTTAAATTCTTATAATTCACCTTTACTGAGGCTTTCTGTACATTCTCAAGGTTTGTTACCTGCTTGGGCTGCCCTCTGAAAGCACCTGATGCCAAGCGGCCAACAGACTTGTAATCGTGTCCAGAGCACTCCACACTTACAGAACCATCCAGGCTGGTGTCCTTCAGATGATTTTCTTCAACAAGAGATAGTAAAATAATACAATAAATTCAATGTTTCACAATTTACTCAAAAGACATATTTGTAATATTTTTTATATACATGCAGCACCTTAGGGGACTTAGAGTTTCCTTATGTAGTCTAGGCTGGATTTATCCTTGCTCTGTAGCCCAGGGTAGGCTAGAATTTACAATCCTCATGCCTCAGCCTCCTGAGTGGTGGAATTACAAGCATGAGCTATCATGCCCGGCCATTGCACTTCTTTTTAATTGAGTTACTTGTGTATTTAATTAAACTACATTAAAATAATATATTCTCTCACTGCTATAAATGGGAAATCATCATTATTTTGCATAAAAATACATATATTTAAAGAAAAGTTTATTCTAAATACTCTATGGCTGAGTTTCTGATTTTGATACATCACTATTAAAAAGAAATAGCAACAACATTTAAAAATTTATAAAATCCTGGCTACACAAAATTAGCCTTTAATTTTGTTGTAAATATTGAAATAAAATTTAAAAGGAGGAATTAAAGAAAAATATTTGTTTTATTTAAATATATTATTCAATTATATTTAATCTAAGATTGCCTGTGATGGTCTCGTTACTCATAGTGTTATCCATTCTGTAATCAGGGAAATATTGACTTAATCAAATTCACCATTTTATACAAGCTAGGGGCACAATACTTAAAAAAAAAAGACTAAGTACAGAATTTCAGCTTCCATATAAAGTTCATGAAGGAGACATCTATAATCACCACATGTAAAGTCTCTCCTTGAATTAGTATTTCCATATCAAGACAATCACAGAAATAGACTCATGTTTTGCTCCTACATTAGCTTCCATGGCCTGAATCCCAAGGCTCACAAAAGGTGTGTCCCATTCAAATCATTTGCTCAGTCATCCAAGAAGTATGTTGAACAGTGGCTGCATACCAAGTGCTGTTCCAGGGCCTAGAGATACAGTGTCAGAAAGATAAATAAGCTTTCATTCTAGTCCCTAAATTTACCTGGAAATCTTACAGGGCTGTTTAGCAAGTACAACTCACTGCGTAAGGCAAAGGTACCCAGCCCCAGCATGCCTCACACCTTGAGCTGAATACTTTATTGTTGTGGTCACCTGTGCAGGGCACTGTAGGGTGTTTAACAACATTCCTAGCATTCACTCTGTGCCAGAAGCACCACTTTCCCTCATAAATTGTAAACTCAATACGTCTCCAAATGTGTCAGCTTTATCCTTGCTCTGTAGCCCAGGGTAGCCTAGAATTCACAATCTATGCCTAGAATTCAATCACAATCAGAATTCAATTTGCAATCTAGCCTAGAATTCAATCACAGTGACAAAATACCTGAGAAAATGAACTTAAAGGAGAAAGGTTTATTTTGGCTTGTGGTTTCAGAGGCTTCAGTCCAGAGTCACTAGCTCCACTTCCAGGTGGACAGAAGGCAGAGGAGAAAGAGAGAGAGGCAGAGGGACATGGGGGGAGGGACAAAGAAGAACAAGAAGGAAAAGGAGGAGGAGGGGATGATAACGAAGTGGTGGGTTGGGTGGCAGGACTAGATGAACTCTTCTGGGGCAGCTCCTGATGAGCTATTTTCTCCAATAAGGCCCCAGATTCTACAGTATCCGCCACTACCCAACAGTCTATTTGATTATAAGCCCAGAGGTTCCTTCATGATGTCAGCAATCTCATGATCCAGTCACCTCCCTGAGTCCCTTTTCTGGCCATTGCTGCTCTGGGGAATCAAACCTGTATCACTGGAGTCTCTGGAGAAGAATTCATAGTGAAACCATAATTGTAAATATTACCAAATTCTCCTCCAGTGGCAAAGGTCATCCTTGCCTGAAAACCACTACTCGAAGGCCTCTACTTTGGTCTAAAACAAAAAAGTTAAGTGGCATAGCTCCAGGTAGTACCCATGAATTTGTAATCTACATGAAGTTTTCACTTTGATTTGTATCACTTGTACATCAGTCAAAAGAAGAGGCTCTGCTTTACTACTTTATGGGTGAAAATTACAGAATATAATGATATATACTAATCTGGAGATTTACTAAAGTACCAGGATATGGAACACTGGAAATGTTGTATCATCAACACTGATTCTATTTAGTGTTGTCTTCTTTGTCATGCACACATACACAGGAGGCTTGAAATGTTTTTAATTCTAAGCAGAAGCTCAAGTAAAATGCAGAAGTAAAGGAATTATTGATGCAGACTGTATATAAAATTGTTCCTTTGAGCGTGAGAGCATAGATCTCAGAAATTCTTGAAAGGTGAAAGTGTGGCAGAAGACAAGGTAAGAAACATCCAAAATTTACAGATAGCTTGCTTTTAGACAATATAACACAGCAGTGGTTTTCAAACCTATTTTCTGTACATGAGAGAAGTTATCACCTTTTAGTGGTCACCACTACAACAGACAGCGACCTAGTCTCCACCTACTGAGTCAGTCTATCTGCTCAGGAATCCTTAGATTAAAAAGTGTCACTGAGAGGCTGGGGATTTAGCTCAGCGGCACAGCGCCTGCCTGGCAAGCGCAAGGTCGTGAGTTTGATTCCCAGTTCTGGAGAAAAACCAAACCAAACAAAACAAAACAAAAAAAGTGTCACTGGTGATGATGATAGGTATGCAAAAGTGAGAACTACCATTCCAGATTGTTAGGAAATATATATATATATATATATATATGTATGTATATATCTATTTCTACATTTTCTACATTTCAGATATAAACTGTTTCATTAAGCACTGACAACTGACCAACATAAAATGAAAAATTTTAATATTTATATTTTATAGAAAAAAGTGACTCACAGGATATTGTGGCAGTATCATCTAGTGTATGTAATATATATGCATAAACACACACACAGATTTTACCAGTGACGAAAAACGTTAGCAGTGATGTGCATCTGTATCTCTCTGTGACCTAGAAGTTTTTAAATTCTAAGCATCATTTGAATAATTCCTGATAATTAAATAGTACAATATATAAACTATAATGCTGGAAATACCTGGAAAGATTGTTATGCTCATGTAAAATTCTAGGAAATCTTCCCTACCACCTTTAGTCCTAGCAGCACGGTACGGCCTCTTTAGCCCAAGTATTCCCTAGCCAGAGCTGACACCTGAGGACTGGCTCATGGTGCCATCCCCAGTAGCCGTGAAACAACTAGTTCTACAAGAAAAATCTGGGCAAAGTATCAAAGGCCACCACTGTGATTTAATCCCACTTGTCTTCCATTTTCAGATTTGTAAAGCCGGGGTAACATTGACCTCAAATGATATGCCAGTTAATATGTGATAACTGACTCAATCTACATTCCAAAGTAGTGTTACATTTCCAAAATAGTGTTACATATCTTTTCCTACTCAGGAATAGATACAGATGCAAAAGATTAGATAAGGGAGCATTTAAAAAATAAAATAAAACATGTTCTTCCTTTCATTCTTCTTACATTTATTCTCCAAGGACATAAGGAATGTCTGCTAGGTGGTATGTGCTTCCCTGTAGATGACAAAAGTGATGAAAGTATTCCATTGTCCAAACGGAGTTTAAACTTTAATAACAGGTAAATGGAACATATAAGCATTTGAGTAAATAACTAATAAAATACTATTGGAAGTAAAAAGTGCAAAGAATTTTGTTTATGATATATTAGTGAATTTAACTCACTGATCACAGAAACTCAAATTTATATTAATTAAGATTTTGCTAGCCTCCAAGCAAACACTAGAAAAGGCAGTGAGAGAAGACACTTTGGGGACCTCTAGATCCAGGCAACCAAACACAGCCAAGGCTATGTTGTATTTTCTTGTTTCTGTCTTGTTTACTGTTAGCAGTCTCTCACATCAGTGCTGTTGTCACAACTTGAGATCAGTACATCCCCAGAGAAGAGCTCTAAATGACCAAACTTGCAAGACTGACTCATAAAAGGATAGGTACACACCCCTGTGGCCAGGACAATAAAAGTAATCTCAATAATTTTGAACTTTTATTGTGTACAAAATATAATGCATCTTTTTAAGTAAAATTTTACTCTTATTTCTTCTTTACTGGTGAGAAGACTAAAACGCAAACAGATTAAGTAACTTACAAAAGCATACATTATTAATAAGTATTGAATGTTAAATTTAAGCCCACGACAATCACATCTCCAAAATATATACTCATAACCATTAGATAATTAGGCCTTGCTAGTGTTGGTTTCTATGCAGTTATATTAGAGTAACTATAATTATTTCATTACCATAATTACTCCCTGCTAACTGGCCTTCCACCCAGCATGAAGACATATAATTGGACATTCATACATGAAAACCACATTGAGACAGAGGTCAAAAAAATGAAAATTTTACAAGAAAAAGTAGAAGATAAATCAACAGAAAATATTACCTGATGCTATTGTGACTGAGGCCCATCAGAGTGACTGACCAACATAACAAGAGCTGATTCATGTCAGTGATCTATAAGTCTTCAGTCACCTGTGTGGGTTCTATACAGAGATGGAAAATCAGTACAGGAATGTGATATGTGCAATGCTCTGTAAGTCAGGAGATGCTGTCACTGGGTAGCATGAGTTCTTGCTCTAGCAATAGTGGAAATTAACACTTAGACAACAGCATGGATTTACAGCAAAAGCTTTCATTTAAAAATATGAGAAAATGGGAAAGAAGTTCAGCTTGTGGCGGGGGCAGAGCTGAAGGGGACTCATCCCTCACAGAAGTCTCTGCTTGAGTTGAAGGTCAAGAGTCTACAGCTCTGATAAAGATCACCCTGGCCTGCTGCACAGGGAAAAGGCACATGCTTTTAAAAGGTGCTGAGGGGGGCTGGGGATTTAGCTCAGTGGCACAGCACCTGCCTGGCAAGTGCAAGGTCGTGAGTTCGATTCCTGGTACCGGAAAGAAAACAAGAAAAAAAAAAAACATAAAGGGTGCTGAGGTGGGGTGGGATCTGGTAGAACTAAGTTCTGGTTTCTGTGACTCCTGAGAAATATTTTATAG